GTTGATATTCATTGATAAATATAATTTTTGCATAATCACATTATGGGCTCCATAAGCTGAAGAAGCTGAACTCTTGCCCAACACAAGAAGTTGAATATTGAATTTGAAGAAATGCCTTCTTGGACAAAAGTGTGCAATCTCTTATAATTGCATGACTACACCTCTAAAAAAAAAGAGGGGGCTGGGTCTTAAGACATATACCGACCTAACTTGAGTAATATGGCATTCCTGAGTCAAACAGTATTGATTCACGTGCAACATTGCATATTGTATGGTATGATCCATAAAATATATTGTACATTACAAAACGTTACCACATTTATCTGAAACATCTGCAAAAGGTCGCCCATAAGCGATGTAAAAGTACTGGGGTGATTTTTTGGTGCCGCTGAAAATAATAGTTAAAAAAAATTGTTTTTTCAAGAGCAGCATCAACTGGTTCAGCAAGAATTGTGTGCACACATAATGACTGTGCAGTTCAATAGAGCTTTGTAGAAAATAATCAAATCTGCTTATAAATATTGCTGTGATATCCAAGTTACGGAAAACTAGATACCGATACTCTTGTTTTTCAAAAAAATATACTATAAATTACTTTATTTCCGCTTGGAAATTATTTTCGCTGAAGGAATGCTTCAGTGAAAATAAAATCCAGTGAATATACTTTTTTTCCTATTCAACTCATCAAAAAACAGTGAAAATAAATTGCATACAAAAAAAACCAAATGCTTTTTCAGCGAAAATTAATTCCAGCTAAAATAAAGTATTTCACAGTATAATGTAAGTTTGTTGTTATAGTAATTTAGATGTAATCACAAATTCAAAATTACACAACTGAGAGCTTTTCCATGTTACAGTAAACTTGGATGTGGAAACAGTTGCTTTTATGTACAATTCTGGGAGGAAATGCCAAAACATTGCCCTGGTGGTTTCCGAAACAACTCTTCATCTTTCAGATAAATACAGTACTTCTGATATACCCTAAAAGTGTAATTAACGAACATGTCAATGTCTCTTGCAGGGAGTTATATTTTCTTCTCACTGCCTGGATCAAAACTTGAAACCAATGTTTTATCTCTGGACGGAAATATTCAACAGGTGAGACAGTCTGTCATGATTTATTTGATTTCATCTCATCATTTGACAGAAGAATTACTAATGTTTTAAAAGCCATATGTGACAGTGTTTTATAATTTGTATACGTATCAATTTATTATTTCTCGTCGCTAGATAAACATTTTTCATTACTGTACTTTATTTTCACTTTGAATTTTTTTCACTGATGGGGTGATTCAGTAAAAATATTTCAAAAATAAACTCCATACAAAGCACCCAAAATGTCAAAATGTTATATTGCATCCATGATTGTCACAATTAATAATTATTATCATAATTAAATAAAAATATTTATTAATTTAAAAAGAATATTAGTGTAAATTACATTAAATTATGAAATACTATTTTTATTTTCAATCCACAGAGCCCATTTAAGTGATAAGAAAAGGCTGCGAACACTAATCCAGATGGAGGCTGCCGATCTCGCTAATTCAGTCGCTGACAACGGTCATCACTATGCATTGCTGTGTGCTGGTAGTTCCTTGACTTCAATGGGCCAGGTCAATGAACTCTTTAATGGAATGACCCAGGTAAATTCAGTTGTAATGACTTGTATATTAATAATCTGAGTTGTGTGTTCTCAAACTTACTCGTTTTCCAAGGTTTCTGAGATTACTACTGTATCAATAATTATGCAAATTACTATGCAAATATGTCACATAAATTATATAGGTTCACATAACTGGAACCAAGAAAAGCAAAGAAACTCCATTCATTTGCCAGCTAGATGCTCGATTGACACTGCCTATGTTGACATCGTTTTTAATGATCCAATCAAATTGAAGATAGCTATAAGATCATGTTTATTGACCAGTGTGCCTAGGCGTTTTTTGTAGAGCTAAAAGTGCATAAATTCCACCGTGGTCCTATGGAGTCACAATGACTCTCGCTTAGGGTCCTAGGGGGTTACAGTGATTCTCACTACAGTCCAAGGAGTCACAGTGACTTTCATTTTGGTCCTAGGAAGTCACAGAGACTTTCACTGGGGTCCTAGGGAGTCACAGTGACTTTTACTGGAGTCCTAGGGAGTCACAGTGACTTTTACTGGAGTCCTAGGGAGTCACAGTGACTTTTACTGTAGTCTAAGGGAGTCACAGTGACTTTTACTGCAGTCTAAGGGAGTCACAGTGACTTTTACTGCAGTCTAAGGGAGTCACAGTGACTTTTACTGCAGTCCAAGGGAGTCACAGTGACTTTTACTGCAGTCCAAGGGAGTCACAGTGACTTTCACTGTGGTCCTAGGGAGTCACAGTGACTTTCACTGTGGTCTTAGGGAGTCACAGTGACTTTTACTGCAGTCCTGAAGCCAGCGACTTGTGCAAAATTTCATCATCATGATATTAATATATAATATAATATACGTTTTTTTTTGGTTATTGTCATGTTTACAGGTCTCTATGATGAAGACAGTTGCTGAAATGAAACACCTGACACCCATGGTGAAAACCCTCCAGCTGATAGCTAAGAAGTTATTCAATACAAAGTATTTGAGGTTAGACACTTATCCCATTTCGAGTTGAAAAAACGAGGCATTGTAATTTAACCTGGGCCTGCATGCATACATGTATGTGTCCACAGCTGTATCACAGACATGCCTGCAACAATCATGTTTAAACTTCACGCGCACATCATAAGTCTTGGGTTTATATGCACATGCATTTGTTCTGTGATTCAATTCAAGATGGCCAATGCACATATACTACGATGTGAACTTACACTGAAAACAGACAGGGACTATGTCATGCCATAACTTGCTTGAAGATTGTGCAGTCTGATATCTACCTCAGCAATAGCCAATAAGACAACATGGACAGCCTTTAGATAGCATGAATATTTGTTACTGCTGACATTGTTGTTGTTTTTTGTTGCAATTGCACAGTTGTAATGAAGTCAGTAACAAAATCAAACAGTATGATGTTACAATTAAAATAACAGTAACATAATTGCAAATCAATATAAACTTGCTGCAGTGTAGGTTAGTAGTTATCGTGATCACATGACCTTATATTGAACCATCAAAGTAACAATTATGCATGCGTGAAATTCTACATGTACTGTCTAGCACCTCACCCACTTTCCCCTGAATGAGATGATCTAACATAATTTTTACATTTTAACACATGATTTACTTTAATTACAAAAACCTGTTCGGGGTGCATTTATAGTTCATACCAGTAGCTCATGTGAAAAAATAAAATAGGGAGAGTCAATTTTGTTACCATGGAAATTTAATAATCCTAGACACTCTTTTTCATGGTTATCATTGAATCAAAAAATATCAATTATCCAAGACACAAATTAAATCAAATAAAACATTATGATTTTAGATTCTTAATATTTGTTTAATGTTTACTCCACAGATGTTCCTTGACAACCAGTCCTGAGACCCAAGAAAGGGCGATGCTCAGATTAGAAAAATTTCTAAAAACTGTTCCTGCACCAATCAAGGCAGAAAAAGGATCACAGGTCAAGAAAATAGAGGTCAGTGACCTGTAAGATATTTCTTTATGCTGGTGAATTATATAATTACATACTGTAAAATACTTTATTTTTGCTAAAAATAGATTTTGACCATTTTGTGTGAAATATAATTTCATTGATTGTTGATGAGTTGAATGCAAAATATAGAAGAAAAAGCATTTTTGCTGGGTTTTATTTTCACTGACTCATCCCTTCAGTGAAAAAAATTCTAAACGAAAATAAAGGAGTTTTTAGTATTTGTCATAACTTGAGAAACCTGTTAGTGCAATATTTGCTTCATTAAAACTGCACATAAAGCAAAAATTGATTTATATTTTCACACTTCTGTCATTTACATGCTGTAAAATACTTGATTTTTGATTTTCGCTATTTTCGCTGGAGTTGATTCAGTGAAAATAAAATACAGGGGACATAAACTTTATTTTACATACATCTTCCAAAAATCAGGGAAAATAAATTCCATATAAAACACCCGAAATGTCCTTTTCAGCAAAAATTAATTCCAGCTAAAATAAAGTATTTTACAGTATTGTCATTTGAACACCAAAGAATTTCTTTGTTGTCTTTCATAAGTAAAACCTGCATAATTTTTTTTCCACAAAAATGTCTAAAAGAAATTGTCTCCATTAGGTTCATAATTTCCCTAAATTTGTAGAAAAATGTAGAAAAAATGTACAAAATCATTCACCAACATTTTGATTGGTATACAGATAGAAAATATTTGCAGATACAAGATGCTGACAGCAGTCAACCTGTTTGATTCATTGTTGTTTGTCAGTGACTTTTAAATTCCATGCAACTATTTTCAACTGTTTTCATTCTTTGTTATTTTCAGAATCCACATTTTGACCCTACAAAAAGACGGATTCATTTTCCGTTGCCATTTCCTGTGAATTACACTGGTAGATGTATAGCCACTGTGCCCTATACAGATCCAGACTGTGCAACGTAAGATACATGACTTGATATGATTATGATATGATATGATGCGATGCAATATATGATATGAAATAGTATGTCGTGGGATTTAACATACTCGTCCGACTTCTATGCATCTATGCTTGACTTAGCGTTCACACCCAATTTTTGGGAAATTTTTATTTTCAGGATCACATGCAGCTATGCACCTTCAAAAAGCCCCAAATTTGACTGTCTAGTCATAAAACCTGGTCTTTTATCATTGTTTGACTTTTAAGAACATTGGTAATCAAATTTATATACTGCAGCATGAATATCGACCACCATGAATATGTTATGAATGCTTACACCATCGTTTAACAACCATGATAGAAAATAAATACTTTTAAAAAAATTGCTAACTACCAGCTTATTAAAGAATTATGTTGTGTTTTCACTGAAATCAATCCTAACAGATCGTACTTTGATGACATGCCTTCAGGAATTCCTGGAGAATTGTATTGATACAACGCAGCATTCTGATTGGTTATTACCATTAGGTGTATCAGGTTAAAGAGCATTGTTGTATGTCAAATTGTGCAAGAAATCATCATTGTTGATCTGCATCAAGTACGATTAAAAAAAAATTGACAATGAAGTTGATTTTGACTTTGATTGTGTTCCAAATAAGACTAAAATTGTCCTTTGCACACTTTTTTGAACCCACCTTCCTAAAAGACATATACCTTAAGTACCCTGGCTGCTAAGTCAGAACAAGTATGGTATATTGTACATTTCTTTATGTGCTGTTTCATAATGAATATCATCGTGAGAGACTTCAAATTTTGCTAAAGAAGCACTTCTAGAGTTATTAAAAGACAGGCATCCCTGACAGCTTCCTCTGTAACTACTTTCCCAATCCTGAACAGTAATGTGTTTATCGCAGCTTATATGCGAGAATATTGCAATAAATAACCATGGTGCAATAACACTATTCTCTGGAGTGGAAATCCGGGCATTTTCACTGCTTGGCAACCATCAAAACTCAAAAAAAAATACTTATTATGGGCTAGTTATTGAGACTCTCCTGAAAAGTACGAGATTACCCCTACAAAATATATAATTTTGGTTGTTCAGGATTATTCAAAGTTGAGTTTGTGCTGTTTTCTCAACTGTAGCTGTTTTCATCGGCTTTCGACCCATAGAAATACAGTGTACAGTGGTGCGTCTTAACAACGTGGAACGTCTTACGATGTAGCTCCGCCCCCGAGAACAAATTCGTAATAATAATGACTGGAAGTTTATTTTGCTAACAAATATTTGGAAGATGGATAATACTTCTGTTCAATGATTATCAAAAAACGTTGGTAACTGCAAATACCCGTCCATTGATGTGCTTAAATGTCATGCCTAATTAGCATATGATTCAGAAATGAAGGTCTGTCATTTTATGTACGGTAACTCCGAACTAGTCATGTGGTAAAAGGGTACTCTCCTGTTCGTACAGCTGGTTGATATTTCTCGCTTAATTTGCTGTATTACTCACTCACCTTTGGTTCATGGATAACCCATGATGATGTCACTCATTTCAAGCAGCATCTCATATCACGTATATCATTGGGAATTTGCATTTCCTAGTGAAGTAGCATGCAACCACTTTTCCTGATAACCACACATTGTCTATTTTTTATAAGGTATTTTGATTTTCCAATTTGAATATTACAGGCTGCGTGTGTTGGCTAAGTTGATGACCAGCAAGTTTCTACACAGGGAAATTAGGTAAGTTGCTGTTCAATGCAGCACTATTGTAAAAACTGTGCATGTGTATGTTCTACAGTTCTGTTGTTGTCTTTTTGGTTCTCAGGTTGGTCTTTACTGACATTGTACACGATTGTGAATGATTACTTTGTTGCTAAAATCTTTAATTATGATCTAGCTCAATACATAATTTTAATAATTGTTTGAAGTTACAAGCTTGCCAGTAAAATGCACACCTCGATATCCTCGGGGCGGACATCCGGACATTTTCACCTGCTGGCAACCAGCGGTGGTGAAAACAAAGGCCAAAAACTCGCAGAAAACAGTACTTTGGGATGATTGTTGAGACTCTTCTGAACAGTGTAACAAGATTTGCCCTACGTGTGTAACCTATATAAATTTGGTTGTTCGGGATTACTTCAAAGTTGAGTTTGTGTTGTTTTCTTGAATTTTCACCGTCTCGACCATCATTCCACAGCAGCGTGCACAGAGCCCATAGAAATACATGTACAGTGGTGCGCGTCGTAGCAACAGGGAACGTCTTGTTACGTAGGCGCGCCCCCAAGGATATGTCGATCTTTAAAACTTCCTGATATCAATGTATAAACGTTCATTAATGTGTGAGTCTTCTGTTTGGATACTGTAGAATATTATATTTTCGCTTGGAATTCATTTTCGCTATTTTCGCTGAAAGGATGATTCAGTGAAAATAAAATCCAGCAAATATACATTTCTACCTATGTTTTACATTCAACTTGTTAAAAATCAGTAAAAATAAATTCCATACAAAACACTTAAAAAGTGTTTTCAGCGAACTAAAATAAAGTATTCTACAGTATGTGCATTTCTGATTGCAGTGCCATTTTAATATGCAATTATAGTCGCTGTTAACAAAACAATTAGATGACTAGGAATAAAACTGATGCTTTCTCGGTTATTGACAATCCAAATTCTGATTGCTTCGTTTTCAAGAATCCAAATTCTCACCAAAGTATTTGTGACATTGATAATTCTTGCTTCAGTGAATTTGATTGATTTTATTTTTGCTGAAGGGATGATTCCGTGAAAATAAAATCCAGCTAATATATATTTTTTCCTATATTTCACATTAAACTCATCAAAAATCAGTGAAAATAAATTCCATACAAAACGCCCAAAAGGTCTTTTCACTAAAATTAATTACAGCGAAAGTATTCCACAGTATATGTCTTTAATGCAAAAATCAGGGCTACCCTGGTACTTTACACACAGAGCCAATGAGGTCTTGGTACTCATATTGTTAAAAAACAATTTGTCTGGTCTTTGAAAGCAAATACCGGGGTTGTAACTAGTGAAAGTGAAAGTCCCAAAATTGAAATGGATTCAAGTTCACTGGTAATTTCAATGAATAGTTGATCAGTCAAAATTCCATTCACAAACAAAGGTTTTAAACAGTTGGAACTAAAATCATATCGTGAAAGCTCTATTTCAAAAAAGAAAAGATTATATTGGCATCTTTATTCAAAAATCTAATTACAATACACTGTAGACACAGATCTATTATTATTTTCTTTTTTTCACAATCATGTGACAAGTTTCATGGATCATGAGATGTAAATAATAAGTATTGTCTAATTTGATAATTGATTTTTATTTTATTCCAGAGAGAAAGGTGGTGCATATGGGGGTGGAGCGTCCATGTCAACATCTGGTCTATTCTCGTTCTATTCATACAGGTGAGTTGTAGCTACACTGTAACCTACACTGTGTTTCAGCCCTTCAGTCGTGTATAGATTTGAAACTTGCATGAACTTTTCAGCCAATCGAGGGAAATTCTCAGCAGTTTTATGTGTTACAAACAACTGAATATATTAGTTGACTGTACATTATATGACTGGTAGAATAAACTTTGCAGTTTTCATTTGAGATTCTCATTCACGTGTTGATCTGTTTTGATCAACTGGGATGAGTTCCAGGATGAATTTCAATAAATTCAGTTTAGCGTCTACCATCAGACAGAGAACTATTTTTTTGTTTTTAACAATGAGTTCTTTATATGACAATAAACATATACTGTTGAAAATGTTATTTAGTTTAGAGCTCCGTGGAGTTGTCTTTATCGTCATATTTTAACATGAGTATTCAATGTGGAACAGCCTCTTTACTTCGCTCTTACGCGTAGGGATGTGACCTTTATGCAGTCGTAGTCTTATAAAAACAACTGGTGTCCAGTTGAATTTTCTGTTCCGGCATTTCGTCGAAATTTGTAGAAGTACATGATTTGTTAATTTTTCCCGTAATTGTATCAGTATGGCAACTTTCACATATGAACGGGGAGACATCATCGAGGCAGTTGATTGGGTTGGGTTGTTCCCGTAATGGATTACCCAGCAGGGCTGTTGGTATGGGAGTTTTCCTTTAAACAACTTCTTCTTCAAAAATACTTTTATACATTTATATTTGTACCAAAGGTAAAAAATGTTATTTTCAACAACTAGTCCTAAAGCGTAAGTCCAAATGCTTTCATATTTCAGCAATGATACATGGAGTCGTCCTCTGTCAGATTTGTTAAATTTGTGTCAAAATATGCAAATTTGGATTTTTAGTGAATATTTTTGTCATTCTTGGTAAAAAATGTTATTTTCGACACTAGTCCTAAACCGTAAGTCCAAATGCTTCAATATTTGCAGCAATGGTACTTTGGGTGTTCCTCTGTCAGATTTGTTAAATTTGTGTCAAAATATGCAATATTAGTCCAAAAGCGTCAACCACAATGCCACTTCTTTTAAAATTAGGTAAATTTGGTCCTAACTATATAAAAATTGTAAAAAAAAAATACATTTTCAAATGTTGCACCATAAAAATGAGACAGCATTCAAAAGCATAAATGGTCAACCATTTCACATTTTACAAGGGACAATTACTATTGACATGACAAATCCATTCCTCTTTATAAAGACGTGTACTGACAATTTTAATGACAATTGTATCCACCCATGTAATCAACAATCGCAGTGTACAATGACGTCATTTTGAAATGTTATTCGATTGACCAATAAAAACCTCTTGTTTCAGTTTAAATTGAGCAATTTATAGATATTTATAACAAAGGAAATGGGTTTGTCGAAAGTAGTTTTGGAAAAAAACATAGATATGCTTTCACTCATGAACACATCAATAAAAGACATGCTAATTCTACGATAAAAGACTCAATGTTGAATACCAATTTTTTCAGGCAAGAAGATTGAGCAATGTATCACAGCCAATAATATTTAATCTGTCACTCACTCCCAAGCATTGTTATCTTTTGATCAGCTGCATTTTGTTTCTGGTCAAGTAGCACATGTGGACTTGATGTTTAATTTAGTATGGTCTAAATTCCTGCATGTTCATTGCATAGGATCCATATCAATTGCAACGTGTTATGATGAAAGTTGCCATTTACGCTAGGTTTCTGAATAGTTAGCAGATCAAGGTACATTTCAATGTTAAAATAGATTGAGCCCCGTGCCATATTTTAGTTACCCAGTAGATTCACTGACAAAAATCTTGTTCAATATCCTTGTCCCCAAATAGAAATTTTTCACAATATACATTATTACCTGTAATTGATCAACTATACAATTATACAATCATACCATTATTTTTTGTTCTTGTGTTCTTCCCAGATTTATTACATGTGTTCTCAACATTCTATTTCGATGGCAATGCTTCTGTGATTATTTATCTATTTTTTTTTGTAACATCTGTGTACTCCTGTGAAATTATACACTGACTGAAAACTGCTTAGAATTTAAAGACCTATCAATCAAATCTATCTCAAGATGCGCTGAAGAGCACAAAGTGTTCCAACTGCCACAGTTGAAGACACAGTTAAAGACACAGTTGTCGCTTTTTCCAATACTGTAAATTTAATATCATCAACTAAACATTCAACGCCCTGGATAGCTTTTGCTAGGATTGGTTGGTGCGATACAGCCTGTGTTGATTCTGATGGTTCCTGAACTTTGCTTTTTTCTCGCTTTTCATAGTTGGTTTCAACATCATATTTTTGCTTGACTTGTATCTTTGGCACAGTTTCCTTCTGGATTTTTGGTCTCACGCCATCCTCTAGTTTAACATTATAATCTTCTTTCTGCTGTTGGGAACTGACTTCTTCATTTAAGACAGAAACAGCACTGGCATTCTCTGTCTTTGATTTTCTAGCTACAGGATGTTGTAGTCCTCCCAGCATTCCTTGCAGGATGACCTCACCTGGGTAGAACTCTGGTAGTGTATTATCACTTTCTTCACACATTGTCTCCAGGGATGTCATGATGTCCAACCGATTTGTTGTTTCGATACTTGTTTTCATCAGATGTGCAGCACTGCTATGTTTTAATATGTTGTCTATAAACGTTGTTGTACTTTTCAGTATCTCCTCAGTCGTTTCATACTGTTGTATTTCTCTGTTGATCTCTTCATACATTTTGTCATGTTCAGTTTTTATTTCCCCCAAGAGACTATGCTCTTCTTCCATCACTATGTTGATTAATTTTTCTATGGTTTCTTGTGAATGTTTTTTTATCTGCATTTCTCGCTGCGAAAGTTGCTTTGCTATTGCTTTGATTTTTCTTGCTGCACTCACTTTGCTTAATTTCAGCTCATTCTGTTTTGTTTTCAAGATTTGCATTCGGTCTTTTGTTTCTTCACTGAATTTATCTGCTGCCATTTGCATATCAATGACTTCATCTCCTCTGTAGTTTGTTCCCAAACATAAATGGCAGATAGGGACGTGGCAAGACTCGCAGTATAACTCAAGTCGTTTTTCCTTGTGCACTGTGCAGTGAACTGCAGACAAGGAAGAGAATTGGTCTCCTAAATTAGCCTTCTCAAACTCCTTAACTGTCATAATACGATGGTGTTTACTGATTGGTACATTTCCATGGACTTTTACGCATGTTGAACACAAATCTATAGCACAGTCTACACACCTGTTTGTTGGTAGATTTTCTTTACAACCGTGGCATGTTCCACCACCCGCTGAATGTATGTTTCTCTTCTGTGCTTCAATAATCTCCATAACTGAATTGATCATAATACTTGGTGGAAGTTGTTGAACGTTAGTTTCGGAATGCGGTTGTCTGCAGTTGGGACAAACCAGTCTGCCATATTGTTTCACCCACTTCAGCAAACACTGCTCACAGTAGGAATGCTGGCATGGTAGAATCTTCGGATTCTTTTAGCGTTCGAAACAGATCGAACAGTTCAAGAGTTGATCACCAATCTGGTCCACAACTGTTCGTCATCTTGTAAAAATCTTGTATAAAGTCTGCTTCAATCAAAATTGTGAATATGCAATTTTCATTAAATAATAATATAGATAAAGTTGAACACCTTGTCTATAATGACTGATACAAAAGATTGTGAAACAAAAAAAATATTATAATAGCGATTTGAAAAAGCCAAAATAGATATTATTAAAAATATTTTCAAAGAAATTCATATCAAATCCAAGGTAATTTTGGGCCCAGTTATTGGTCAGAGCCCATTTTTTTTTTATGGAAATTGCTTTTGTTTTTGAAAAAAAAAAAAAGTGCATGTGTTACTATAGAAAATGCCTGGTTAATGCTGATGTGAAATTACACCCTCTGTTACTGTCAAACTTGTATCTATACAAGTTCAATTCCAACCTTAGGCTGAACAGAGGCTCGACCCCTACCCTGGGTGAGTGCG